TGCAGACGGGACGATGGAGCAGGATTGTGGTCATTGATCCCCCCCCGACCTCTGACCTTAACCTCTGTTCACATTTCTGATTTGGCGGAAATGGAGTGTGTGTTTGTGTGTGTGTGTGTGTGTGTGTGTGTGTGTGTGTGTGTTTTGCTGCTTTTCTACTTCATTCTAGATGCATTACTCTTCTTTTGTTATCGTGCAAGTGAATGTCTGTTGGACAATCTACGTATTTTTAACCACACTACTGATGTGGCTCTAATCATATCTGAACGATGAACAGATTGATTGGCATTAAACTTTGCATAGACACTCACGCTGGACCGTTGCATCCTACAGAATTTGAAGAGACTTAATACATTTAATAGCATTTGCATATCTCTGTTTTGCCCTTTTTAAATTAATGACTCATTTACCTTTTTTAAAAAATATTTCTGGAAGTGTTCTCAATTGATTACACACACAAGATGGCGTCCTGTTACACTACACAGGTCTTAAGTGAATTCTTGCCTTAATGTCTTGTAGTTTTGCAACGATACAAACGCTCAAAATGAAGGAAACGTCTCTTTAAAGGAGGCGTTCAAAGGAAACTGAAAGCGGTTGTTTTGACTTTTCGTCCTTTGAGAAAACACAGTAATTCTCATCCAGTCACACTCAGACTTACAGTTGTCTGTTATTTTCTCTGTCACGGTTCGAGAAGCAAAGACTCCACTTGACCTGGGTGGTGGTTTGGCAGGAGCTTGAGTGATGAAGATTACTCAGCTCTGTGATGTTTTAAGAGGAAGAGGAGATGAGGTGATGTTGGCATGAAAGTTTGTGGGAAGGACACCGACCTGTACCCTGGAGTTAGAACAGCTGGGCTCACAGCCAGGAGCTTGCAGGTTAACTTTAGAGTAAGGAACCAGCACCTTATGTTGGTTTTGTTGTTTTTGGAGCTGCCACACAACAAACGGATGCTCCGTGATCCTCACACTCGACCCCAAGCTCCGGTCCAGCTTTAGAAGACTGTGGGTGCGAATGTGTGGAGCCGTGAATGTGAAGCGGGGTGTTTCTGAGAAAGAGCATGCTCGCTCACCCCCGGCCTGTTCGAGGTAAAGACTGGGAAGAAAACAAGCAGCTGTGTGTGGAGGCGAGAACACTTCTGTGGCCACGGTTTCCACACAAGAGGAGACAATCTAGTCAAATCTCGGCCATGAATTGGCTGTTAGATCGCAGATTTCTCCAGCTGAGATCCAGCAGCTGTCAACCTGACGCCAAAGTGCTTTTAAAACTGGTTCGATGTAGCCTGGTGTCCAGTTCCCGCTAATCACAGGTGGTACGTTTTGTTCTGGAGTCGCTGTTAAACCAGTCACAGACTTTAAAGGAGACATTTTGGTTGGACTTCAGCTAATGGCTCATCTCGTAATTTAGTGACGCTGTTAAGTTTGTCAAGTCCTAATGTCTCTCTGGTGCTGCTAGCTTGTCGAGTGGTGTAACGGCGTCATTAGTGGTTCTCCGAAAAGTACGACCGACCTGTTTATAAACATGAATCGTTGCTCATATTCAGTTGATTTGGAAAGAATCGTGGTCAAAAGATTCAGTCACAGCAACTTTTTGACTGTGTTGACAATTCAAAAGAGATGAAGATATTAAAATAGCTGCATCAGACCATCCAATTTTGTATGACTCTGCTCTATAAACCATAAATTGCTGTGCAAAGTTAATGGTTTCCAGTCAGTCATAAGACATGAATATATGCTGGAACCATCTTTTCTTATGTTAAATGTGTATGTTTCTGGTTAAGCACGTGTTTTATCTTCTCGTCATGCTAACTTAGCATTTTGAGCTCTGTCAGTGAATCAGTTGTAGTTTATTGTGCGGCGCCGTTTCTGAGCTCTCGCACTAATCCTCCATGTTGTAACCTAAACATTATACAACTACGTAACCGATACTCGTGTTTCTTAACAAACAGCCTGTGTTTACGAAGCTCGTACCGCTGCCACTTTAGAGGGAGATCTCTGTGCATTTTGTACCACATGACCTCATAGTGGCCACTCACTAATTTCACATAGTTCCAGTCACATCGCTGAAGAGCTGAACCGCAGTGACATTTACTGTGAGAAGTGCTGTTTCAGTGACGAGTGATGTAGAAAGTCGTGCTAAGGAGCCATTTGAGGGTGAGAGAAAAATATGAGAGGAACTCTTATTTGCCTGCCATTATACACACACACACACACACACACACACACACACACATACACAGAAACAGCATGTACACTCACTCACTCACTCAACCTGTCCATCTTCCAAACGTCAGCACATACAGGGAGCCGGGTGGACTTGGCTGCAAACTGATGACCGCAGTTGATTTCTATTATTAAATGTGAGGACCGCGACGAATCACAGTCACTCATTGCTCCACACTTGGATTAGGACAATGTGTGTGTGTGTGTGTGTGTTTGTGTTTATGTGTGTGTGTGTGTGTACGTTCCTTTACACTGTGTCTCGTGGTACAGTACGTGCATACCTGTGGCTTCCTGGCTACGTGCGCTCTGACCCCTTTACTGTTTTCACTGCTGCTGACTATGTTCTTTTTTTTTTGTGTGTTGTTGTCATTGTTGTTTCTCTTGGTGTATTTTTAGCAAATACCTCTGCATGTTTCCCTCCGTCGCTCACTGTGCTGTAAACACGCCTGCACTGCAGCCATTTGGCTTCATCTTGACAGCGTCGACCACTGTGCATTTATTGTGACTGATGGTGGCATAAATATCATGAAATTCAATCTGGATTCTGCGGTGTGTCTATATTTATATATTTATATATATGTGTGTGTGTGCACGCTTGCTAGAGTTCACTAGCATACATTGACTTTTTGCCACTTTCCACACACACACACACACACACATGCAATTTTTGTCCACTCTGCACTTCTGCCGCTCCAGGAATTTTCCCCCCCTTGCTCTGAATCGTCGGAACGTTTTTAGGATTCCTTTGCTTTTTTGGAAACAAAGTGAGTTTGGAATTCCACCTCTCGCTCTCCCTCAGCAGACACGGTGTGTGTGTGTGTGTGTGTGTGTGTGTGCGTGCGCGTGTGTGCGTGTGCATGTGTGTGTGTGCTTAGGTTGAATTCCAGGCACACACAATTTACTGATTTGGTTGGAATGTGTTTGTTACCCACAGGGCTCTGGAATCACACACACACACACACACACAAAAACACACACATGCACTAAGACACACACAAAACACAGATTCCTCTTCATCGTCTCTCAGTGGGAGAAAGCGATCGCTTACGTTTCCGCTGATTATCCCTCTCTGCGTGATGTGTGTTTGACCTCCTCCGACCTTTTTGTGCGTGCATGTATGTTGTACTATAAAATGGGTTTTGTATATTTACAACCTTCTGAAATGTGTCCCGACTGATTTTGATGGTGTGTGTGTGTGTGTCAGTATTTGTCCCCCTTCCTGTGTGTGTGTGTGTGTGTTCAACCTCTTGCACACACAGGCCTCAGTTCAGCTCTTTGTGCAGGTTGAACCAGTTATTAAACAGCAGGTGATGCTTCGCCAGGGACGCACGCTGCCATGAAAAACCACACTAGACTCCCCACAATGTGCAGGAATGTCTTCACTGAACATCACCCACATTTCAAACATAACAAAACTGATAGTATGTCAGAGATTTGTATAAGTGGGTCTGATTATCCATCATCAAACAATTTGTTTTAACAGGAAATCTGAGCTCATTTCAGACTCAACAGCCCGCAGGCTGTCTTTATCCTTTGTTGGCTGTACAGAGGTGGTAATTTTATGACTATTTAAAATTGGTAGAGGACTGGAGTGGGTAAATATATTTAGAAAATAATCAAGGAGGGTGACAGAATTCAAAAATAGGTTTTTGGATTTTTATCTAGCTTTCCAGAAGTCTGTCATTTCAATGATTTGTAATAGTCTGAGTCTTCAATTGCTGTTTTTGAGTTGTTAAGCTTATGTTAAAGCTGCAGTCTTATCAAGAGGCTTAAACCAATGGTAGACTTCTAATGAGCCTGACAGTTAATAACATGGTGATGTGCTCATTTGAATTGGCTGACAGTTAAACTTTTTCCAAATGGAGAGACTCGCAGACAGAGAAATTCACTTAAACTGTTTGTACTGGCTTCCAGACGCAGCAGCTTTCTGCAAGGGATGGAAGAAATCGCTTCTGCACAGTCACTGATTCTCTGTCTTTCTGTGTTTATATGTGTGTGTCTGTGTGTGTGTGTGTGTGTGTGTGTGTGTGTGTGTGTCTTCAGTTCCACGGAGGTCGACGATATGATCCGCAAGTCGACAAATCTGTTGTTGACCAGAACCCTCAGCCACTGTCTGCAGTACGCCATTAAAAAGAAGAATGTCGGGCTGGCAGAGGTATTGTGTTTGTGTGTGTTTGTGTGTGTTTGTGTGTGTGTGTGTCCAGTGTGTAAAAACCCCAGCCTGCTGCTTGTTATAATCTCTGAGGGAACAAGCTAATGTTGTTTGCACAACTTCAGTGTAACTCTGTTGCTCAGAACGGTCATTCTCAACATTTCCAGCTCATTTACCGACACAGAAAAAAAAAAAAAAAAAGACACTTCCCCTTATCAACCTGTTGTTGTTGGGGATTTTCATTCTCCATGCGTTTTGTTTCCATGCTCCATGATCAGCCCTAGAGACCAAACACTCAGAACAGGATGTAATGATAAGATTGCGTGTTGTGGAAAATTCAGTAACTCTGCGTCCTTCTTTTAATAATCATAAACGGTGCTGAATTCCTGAGTAACGAGCAGTGTATCAAGACAGATGTTCAAATGGAGGCTTATGATGCATTAAGTCAAACTGGACTGATTATAGTAGACAAACACTTTTATTCAGCAGATTAATTAATCTTATCGAATTAATTATTATGATATCTTCTCATAAATAAAAGTAGATCTTCCCAGGAAATGAAGGTAAAGGTCACGGCAGCAACATAATGTCATAATGTAATCAGCACAGTCACACATGTAGGAACATTATACGTTTATATTCAATGGTGCGTTTGATTATTTTTTTAAATAAGAGACATAAATAGTTTATATCTGACATGGCTGAAGTTTCCCGGTGTCATTTTTGTGTCCTCTGTCTGTTGGATGTTTACACTCAGTTGGTGCAGGTGATCATTAACACCACCCACCTGGAGCAGAGCTGCCACTTCCTGGAGGAGTTTATATCAAACATCACCAATGTTCCTCCTGACACAGTAAACGCTACCAAGCTGTACGGGACCTCCACCTTTAAGGTAAACACAGACACACTCTTGTCCCAGCATGCAACACAAACACACAGCCATTATCAGAACTGTCCTCTCTGATCTCTGTCTGGTGTCTGGTGTCCTCTTGCAGGACGCTCGTCATGCGGCGGAGGCGGAGATCTACACCAGCCTGAACGCCAAGATCGACCAGTTCCTGCAGCTGGCTGATTACGATTGGCTGGCCGCGGTGCAGGGAGGCGGGACTCTGACTGCCAGCGACTACCTGATCGACCTGATCGCTTTTCTGAAGAGCACCTTCAGCGTGTTCACCAACCTGCCTGTTAGTACACACACACACACACACACACACACACCAATACCACTCTTATATCTGTATTAGTGGTCGACTGATATGGGTTTTTCAGTTGCATCTGATAAAATACAACAATTTAATAATTATAATAATGAGGGTTGAACAATTAATCTTAACAAATACGGCCCATTGCAATATCTCAATAGCAAGAGCTGCAATTTTAAGGTGAGGTTAAGGTAGAATGTGTCATTACAAACCATAAATGAAGCGTTGTGATGCTACAGAGACGCTTCAGCCTCGTATTCTCCAGATGTAAAGGAACATGTTTGTTTGCTACAAGCTCCAACAAAAATCACATCGTCATCATTTTTAATTTGTTTCAGTGAAAGTGAAATGCAAAAAATGCCTATTCCAGCTGAAATCGTTGACCCAAGACACAAAAAAAGCTGAACTTAATTAATTAATATTTATTTAACACGTACGTATGTCTGCAGATATGTTTTTCAGACATTTATTGTGAATCAGCCTTGTGAGCGCAGCTAATACAGATTATCTCACTCGGCCTGATTAATCGGTCTATCACTAATCTGTTGCTAAAATGTTGCACTATTCCTTTAAACTATGATACTATGATGTCATGAAAATAGTGGTTTAAAAAAAAGAAAAGAAATCTCTGTAAGTAGTGGACTTAATTTCATAATTTGTCTCTTAACTGATTTATACATTTTCAGGTCCACAGGAAATAAACCTGGAACATTAGTGTCCGCTACACGTAGACACGACCACATCCTCAGTGTGAATGTGTGTGTTGATGTGTGTTATATAAGCTCACTCAGCAGTTCCTCTCTCTGCATGTTAGCATGAGACATCACAGGGCAGGACAATCTGCTTTACTTCGTTAGAGTATCAGCTTGTTACGGGTTAGATCGTTAACATGGGGCCCGTTAAGCTCATTAAAGGGTGAGCTGGTCAGGTCAGCAGCACCAGATTACACAGCAGCTCCGGCTATTGACTCTACAGCCCGACTGCAATGACATTATGCTCTCCATCAGGATTTTATATTGCACCATGAACAGTGTAGAGTGTAGACAACAAATCATTCAGCAGCTATACGACATCACATCGAGCATCGTAATCACTTCCTGTTGTAGCAGCCGCTCTAAATGAAAAGCCAGTATTTTAGTAGCTTTAGGCCACAGTGTTAATAATCAGGATTAATTGATAAGTTTCCTTAACACCAATTAACACCCGAAAGTGTCGACTTGCCAGCCTCTTTTTGAAAGATCATGTGACCATCGTTTCATTTCAAAAAGTGACAGGAAGGTGTATGAGTGTTGGAGAACTGTAGTTTCCTACTAATATATCGAGCAGTGAACTGGACAGAGGTTCCAGATGTGTTTGTCTCACTGTAAAGTTGTCTTTTAGGTTCAGTTTATTTTTAACAATGAGATAATGTCACTCAAAACATCTCCTCAGTTTTAAGCTCTTTATTTGAATCTTTATCTCTGTTTTCATTAGGAAAAAAAAAAAAACTGCAAACACACACACACACACACACACACACACAAACGGGCGAGCTGTAAGATGATTGCGCACAGAGATTTGGCCAAAGCGGGTCACAAGGCCATAAGGCCACACACACACAGTGGTTGAGCTAAGTGTTTTCCAGCACTTCTAAGAAGCTTTTCCTACACCCCCACGAGCCCCGGACATGACCCCGACACACACACACACACACACACACACACACACACACACACACACACACACACAGGTTAACACACACTCATGCAGTGTGGGGCCTCCTAAGTAGATCAGATGCTATGGATCTAAAAAGCTGGGTGGTATGACCCTCTGAAACAGAGGTGATCATATAAAAGAGTAGAGTTACTCAGAAATGAATTAGATACTATTGAAGGGAGCAGGCAGGAGTCAATAGACCCAAGAACAAAAAAATTTGTTCTGCTACTATTAGGTACTGTTGCTACTACTGCTAGTTTGGTGCTGCTTTACCATTACTAGCACTAATTTTGCTAAATCTGCAGTACCTCCGGTATACGGGTCTTAATGAACCAAAATCTGACACTGCTGATACCGCTGCGTCTTCTAGTGCGACTGCAGCCTCAAAAATGGAGAGAAAATATAGATTCTAGTTTGTAAAATCCAAGCGGTGAAAAATGAAGCCAACAAAAACTGCAGTTCCTCTAATTACCACTAGAGTCTGACTCCAACAGTGAGTCAGTCCCCATAGACTCCCATGTTAAAATGTCCAACTTTTCAGCTGTTCAAATTTTATTAAGACTTAAAGTTCTGCCTAATTAAAGGTGACACCTTTGAGTGACAAGTGGCTGCACCGAAGTCTCAGCTCCACCTCTTTGCCCGATTTTTCACTGCCAGCTCACTCTGAGCTTCACAACCACTCTTCGGAAACCTGTGGGTGACGTCACGGAGGCTACGTCCATCTCTTTACTTATCTTTGTTGATGGTAAAAATCACACCCTGATAAGCTGAGGTTTAAGGTAAAACAAGGAAATAAGAGATAAGAAAATGCAATACGTGGTAGAGAGTGGAGCAGATGTTGGGGAGGCTCCAGCCCACTCAGAAGATTTGAAGTGTGTGACAGGTATTGGAGGAAAATCAAGATTCCAGGAATAAGTGATTTTTTAAAAAGTTTTTATGACTAAAAAATAAAACCTGAGAGGTTATGCAACTAACAATAAGCACACTGAGAACCCGCAGGAACGCACACACTGACCCGTCACCGATATTAATGGAGTGAAGGCCTCGCGGTGACGCAGCAACATTCTTGCAATGATCTGGCACATTCTCCATATATGTGTGTGTGTGTGTGTGTGTGTGTGTGTGTGTGTGTGCGTGCGTGTGCGTGTGTTTTCTGCTCATGTGGTTGTTTTAACAGCTCTGAATTTAACCAGTTGGAAGCAGACGTGCACTGAGGAAAACTCAGCAGGCTCACATTTCTTAAACAACTTTAGAGAAGGGTACACAGACACGTTCACCGTCCCAGTTCTCACTAGAGGGGAATATGCTGCCCTGTCCAAGAGCTAATAATACCGCTCAGAGGTCAGCGCGACGTAGCTAAATACTCATAATCGAATTGAGCTCAGATTTAAAGATGGAACGGGGGGAGAGAGGCATGAAAAGGTCTCAGGAGTGAAAATAATCATATGAAAATTAGAAAGAAAATTTTGGACGCGTAGCTCTCCAGTTTTATGACTTATAAGCTCCTTGATCATTTTTTTTTTTCTGAAGCGCACTGAAAAGGTTTGGCGGCGGCTTCTCCTCCGTGTGTCCAGGAGTTCTCCGTGGTGCTTCAGCACGTCGCCACATAAAGCCAGATTAGCAACATCTCAGGGGCCCGTGTGCAATAAATACCGTGGTGCAGAAAGCCGCCAACGTCCTCGCAGCAGTTTTGATTGAGGAGCTTTGTTTCCATGCAGTTGTTACACTCCCTCAGTTTTCATTTTTCCCATTAATAACACACCAGAATCAATGTTTTGCCATGCGCTTAATGTCCCGGTTTATGTTTCTTGCCGTAGGGAACTCCAATAGAACACGCTACCTTACCGGTGAGTATCTGGGTTGTTGTGGTAACGGAGTGATGTTGTACCAACCCCTGACTGACCTTGTTTAACCCTAATTTGACCCCTCCCTCCCACACACACACACCTGAGAGTTGACCAACCAGCATGTGAGATGTAAAGGAAGTGCTGCACGTTTGCCTGATATGTGTTCATGTGCTCAAATCTCTGTCCCAATACCAGGGAGGGAAATCGTACCCCGCCACCAGCCAGTGCTAACCAATTGTTTGCATTTAAGCTAATGTACCAGAAACTCTGGCAGGTTACACCGTCATTTGGAGATCCTGCTCTAGTCTAAAACTTTATTTACTCTGTAAAATAGTTGATATTTAATCCTTTATATCTGATGTGGTTATGCAATCTTGACTAGAGCACGTCTGGTCTTCACTTTCTAAACAATAAAAAAATGAAATCTAAAGAAAAAGCCAATAAAAAAAAAGTTTTTTAGAAAGTATTTACTACTCGTTCCACTAGACAAAAATAAATTTCCAACCCTGGTGTCTGTCAGATGAAATGTGGTCTCTAGTCCTTGAAGTGAAGCTGCTTGCACTGGCTCTTTGTGTGTGTCAAGGTTACATTCAAAGAGAAAACATTCACAAAAATGCATCCAAACCCTGAGTCCAGACTTCATTTTTGTGGTGTTTCTTGAGTGACATGAACAAATACCTGCTGTAATGCAGCAATCTGTGATTGTTCCACAAAGACTAAATCTGGAGCGTCTCTCTTTACGGTGATTTGGAGGTTGACTATGTGAACTGAATTCCCAAACACATAAGTAGATTCCCATTTTCAGCTGTTTTCCAGGTCATGAATCAGAATAAGCACCTGTAACCCTTCAGATTCACCCTGAGTACTCCGTCACTCTCATATTCCCTGCCTCAGATTTAGTCAAAGAGCTCTGGGGTGTCGCACATCAGTATCCTTTTTTTTTTTTTTTGTGCTGTGATCCCACCTCTTGACTTTTGGCTGCCCTGACTTGCTGTTCATTTGACTGACAGGTTTCTGGATGGACAGAGAGCATATTATACACCGTGTCGAATCCCTTCCAGGAGTTGTGAATCACTGCGTTATGGCATTGTGAAGCACTGACTTACCGTGCTGCTGTGTTTCTCACTCGGCCTGCTTCTAGCGTTATGAGGCCGAGGCTGAATCCAGCTGAGAGCACAAGCTGTGTCCGTAACGGGAGGCGCAGTTTTGTTGGAGATGCATCGATCTGTTGTTACACTGAAAACCTTCACATATGAGGTTCTGGTTGTTCTAACAGATTTGTCAAGAGCCTTTTGAGTCTAGATTTAGCACAAACATGATCTCACACAGCTTCAGATGTGGAAATATCCCCTGCAAAATATGTTATCGAACCCTCGTTGTGTTTATGTGATGTTATATTGTACTTGCTCTGCCTTGGTCAGATCACCACAGCATTTGTAAATAACTTGTCATTGTCAATGGCGATCGTTAGCACAGCTAACTGAACAGGACTATAATAGTGTGTTTCACCGCACACAGACCAAAGAAAATACCCTGAAAATAACTGTGTTTGAATATTTGACCACATCTGTTTTTGACCACAAACACACACACAAATGTTTTTGTTGTCGCTGGATCGGAACCAGATTTTCAGGATGCGTTAGAAGCTTCATTAAACTTGTTTTAGTTTCAAGTATAAAAGCTGCACTTATATTATAATACAATATCATCATATTAACAATGGATCAAACGACTAAATGTGTTGTGAAAGGGGTCGTTCATAGTGACGAACTCATCTAGATCACTAGACTCTGCGGTACCTCTCAGCTCCGCACAACGTTTTAGCATCTTTCTTTGAAGCTTTAGCATGATGCTGTAATGAGTCTCTACGTCTTCGAAAAATACCATTCCCCGCCCCTCCTGACCCTCATCTGTTTTTCAAACTGAGCCCCGCCCTCTTCAAACGCGTGAAAAACACAGTAGAAACTGTAACTTTGTCAGAAACGTCTTCATGGAGAAAACCGTCACGGATAGTAAGAAGCTTTGGTGGAGAAAGTACGTTCTCAGCTGCGTTATCCCGTGTCTGAGACAGGTGCANTTGAAGCTTTAGCTTGATGCTGTAATGAGTCTCTACGTTTTCGAAAAATACCATTCCCCGCCCCTCCTGACCCTCATCTGTTTTTCAAACTGAGCCCCGCCCTCTTCAAACCCGTGAAAAACACAGTAGAAACTGTAACTTTGTCAGAAACGTCTGTCTTCATGTAGAAAACCGTCACGGATAGTAAGAAGCTTTGAAGGAGAAAGTACGTTCTCAGCTGCGTTATCCCGTGTCTGGCCACTAGAGGGCAGAAGAACTTCAAAGAGGTTGTTAGACATCCATTACAGACATATTAACTACTTATGAAGTTTGTTTAGGTAAATAAATGCCCGTTTATACACCAAGCAACATCAGCAGTGCCCGAACCATACAGTTAAAGAGCCGTAAAACCAAAACAATGAGCTTAAAACTCGCTCTCACATTACACACAGTCATTTAATTCAATATTAACAACAAAGATATTGATTCATGCAGCTTCATATTTAAACTTAACTGTTAAATTTCAGCTCCTGAGAGTTGAAATAGTCCCGGAGACAGAGACAGAGAGAGAGAGAGAGAGAGAGAGAGAGAGAGATGTGTTTATTAGCATATTTTCCTCTCATTACTCCTCCTTTTCCTTCCTCGTCGCCCCCTTTCATTCCTCGTTGTTGATCATTCACCACCCCTCTGTTTCTCCGCCTGACCCCGCCAGTCTCGTCCCCATCCTTTCCCCTCACCTCCTTCCCTCCACCTCGCCTGCTTTCTTTCTCTTTTGTCTATTTGTTCAGCCGTTAGCAGCTGAGTAGTTTTTAATGAGCTCTTTGATGAACGTCTCTCGTTAGCTGGAAGGAGGGTTGGAGGGGAGAGGTGGAGGTTTAGTATGATGTCGGAGGATGGAGAAGCGGCATCGCTCGGTGCCGCGTTCACTCCCTAACTGTCTCTCCTTCACTTCTCCTCCATCCTTCTCACCTTCAATCCTGCTCTTTCCTTTCTCACCTTTCCACTCGATTTTTTTCCTTTACTCTGATTAACTTTCCTTCCCTTACTTCAACTTCCTTTCCTCCACTTCCTGTCTTTGCTTTTCTCTTCCCTTTTCCTTTCCTTTCCTTTCCTTTCTTAAACATTACTTTCCTTTCCTCGTCTTGCCTTTACCTTACTCATCTTTTCTTTTATTTCATTTCCTCCCCTCTTTCCTTTCTTCACATTCTCTTTCCCTCGTCTACCTTCCTCACTTCTCTTTACCTTTCCTTTTTTTCACATTTCAGCATCTTTCCTCTCCTCACTTGTCCTCTTTCTTTCCTTTCCTTTCCTTTCCTTTGCTTTCCTTCCCTGTACCTTGTTTTCTTTTCTTTTCCTTTCCTTTCCCTCGCTTTCCTTTCTTTTCCTTTCTTCCCCTATCTTCATTCCTCCTCCTCCTTCCTCCTCCTCCTCCCTCCTCCCCGCCCCAGGCTAATCGTTCCCAGTTGTCTGTATTGAACTCTGAGACAACGCCATTTCTGTCAGACAGACCTACCTGTGTGCTTTTGTGTGTGTCAGTCTGCCCAGGTTCAGGACATGTAAATAGAATTAGCCCATTTCACGCTCAATCTCACCCTATGATAATTGACCCCTGGGGTTGTGTGGAGTGTGTGTGTGTGTGTATGTGTGTGTGTGTGCATACAGAGTTCAGAGGCCAGCATCGTATTGGAGGATATCCGGCCAGTCGTAGGTGTGTGTTTCTCGAACATATGTGCTCGCACGTGTGCGCCGTGTGTGTAATTTGATTTCCCTTTGAGGTGAGGGCTGCCTCTTGAATGAACTGCGCTCCAGACTCTTTCCTGGAGGTGGACCTCAGTTCACTCACTGCTACAATGGGATCTTTCTGCTGCTGTCGGGTTTGTTATATAAGATAAGATGAATTTTATGGATCTCCGAGGGGAAACCAGTTTATTACAGCGGCAGCGAGTTGAGCTGCTGCCTGGAGAACGGAGGAAATGATATTAAAGTTTGTCACGAACATTAAGAAATTACTTATTTAGACTGTTTGTTAATGAAAGACAAGAATTTAAAATAACCTGTCTCTTACCGTGTTATTTAAACTTGGATTTACAGACTAGGTTCATTTTTTTGATTGCTAAACTACTTCTATATATTTGGAAATTAAGGAGGGATATTCCAGGAAACTCACAGAGTAAGATCGTTCCTCTGAATCATTTCTCTGAATTTTCTCAAGATCACTTTACAGGAATATAAATATGTTTTCCAGCATTTCTTTGCATTAGCTGGTGGTTTTTCACATAAACTAGACAATGGACCAGTGTTGAGAAGGACAGGAGAATGCGCCGCTGTTAAGATTAGAGATATAGTATGTTTCTTTGGTCACACATTCATTATAAAAACACCAGATCATCTACATAGATTCATGTATAAACCTGTACTAACCAAATTTTTATTTTTTCATTTTGAATTATAAATTACTTTTTACTGTAAGTGCAATTTTATGCCCCATTACTTGACAAAATACAACTGACTCCTGTTTAAATGTGAGAGCAAAAAGAAGAAAACATGCCGTGCGCTGATTAACTTCCAACTCATAACAAAAGCACAGATTTGTGTGAAACTCCTGTTAATGAAACGTTCACTGTGACAGTTTACAAACATAATTAAACAACATTTAGAAACAGTCACATGTGTGATCAGAGCTGTGTAAACACACGGTGTAATTATATGATTATAACAGGTTCACGCCAACACTTAAAGCTAAATTACCTGTGTGTTTGTCTGACCTGTGTGTGTGTGTGTGGTGTGTGTTTACATACGTGTCTAGTCTCACTGTGTGATTAATGAAGGTTATTAAAAATACACGGCTGGCCTGAGAAGCCTGGTGTGTATTGTCAATCACCTGAAGGCGTGTTTGTGTCGGCCACACATCGACGCCACGTCTCGTTTGGCGCCTTCAGAACGTGCACTTCCTGTTTTGTTTTTGCCGCTTATTTCGCACAGAAGGACAGAAATCACAGATGATTTTTTAAATTTTAAATAGTTTTCCGCGTGTTGTGATGGTGAGAACGTTAGCTCGCGTTCTCAATGTAGCGTTTTGTCAGAACTGTGTTAATAGGAAAAGGAATTTAAAAACCAATGGAAACAGAATTGCGTTATTTAATGATTACATGAAGACAAAACATGTTTTTTAGCTGTGGATTTCTTCACTTTCACTCACGGCTTTGTGGTTTTTTGTTTTTTGTTTTTTTCTTCCCCTGCTGCACTTTTACTCTTTCACTCCTCGTCTACCTCGTGTTCTGCCCCTTCCCTCTTCCCCTTTTCATCTCTCTGCTTCACTCTGTTGGAATGCAGACGTCCAGGTCAAGATCGAGGCCACGGCTAGTCACTGACATTGCACACACACATACAGTATACACTCACACACACACACGCTCAATCAAAGCCACACAAACACATGTTTTGGTTTTGGTATTAATGCGTTGTCATGTACTTCCTCATCCGCTGCTTTTATTCTTATTATGCTCCTTCATCATCCTGACTGCACCTGAACATAGCATACTTCATTAACGCTCACTGTGTGTGTGTGTGTGTGTGTGTGTGTGTGTGTGTGTGTGTGTGTGTCCGTGTCTGTGTTTTCATACACTAAAAAAACCTTGTGATAAAGTGCACTCGATCAAATTCTGATTACCACTGTGTGTGTGTGTGTGTGTGTGTGTGTGTGTAGTTAAACACACGTCACATGCAGTTGTAAGGCAGCATAGACGATAAAGAAGTAACACACTGACTCCAAACCACAACTCTATTTAAAAACACAGTGTTTCAGTCGTCTGGTGTTTTTCGGGTCAAAGGAAGTGAGTGCACCTCAACGGGTCTTTTCAAACTAAAATATCTTCACTTACAGTATATGCACGTCTCTGTTGGTCTGACTGATGCAACGTGCAGTCCATGAAAAGGTTTTGTTTTTCTCAAGACTAAAACATTTCTGGTTTAGTCGTTGCTCAGGAGAGGATGTACTTTTTTATTTCTGGATGGAGGATGGAAAACGGAAAGATGTCACAGTTGCAGGAACAATATATGGAGACCTAATCTCTCTCTCTCTCTCTCTCTCTCTCTCTCTGTGTTTCAGGGTAAAGTGGCCCAGACCGCCTGCATGTCGGCCTGTAAACACATCTCCACCTCCCTGATGCAGCTCCTTCTCGACCCGGAGGTCCGACAGATCTCCATGGGAGCTCTACACCAGCTCAACACCGACGTCAAGGAGTGCGAGAGTGAGTGTCCACGTTTAGTTTTTCGTGTTTTTAGTACAACTTTTCTTCCTTCAACTCCCTCCCTGCCCTCCTCTTTTCCTTTTCTTCCTCCCACACACGTACGCACGACACGATCAGGCAGACGGAAGGTGACGAGTCCAAAAAATCGATGCGTTTAAGTCGAAATCAGACAAAACACAGATGCTACTTGTTTGGAAACCGGCTTGAAACTGTGTCATGTGTGCAGTTTGCGTTTGGGAGCACAGGGGGCGCTATGGTTTAGGGAGAGTATCGTTTATATCCTTTTATCCTTTCTACCTTTTCTTCTTCTCTCTTCTTCCCTCACTGTTTTCTCTCTCCAGCTTCTCGTCTTCTGTCTCTTTTTCTTCTCCGGCCCTTTCCCACCGACACTAACACTTTTGCTCTTCCTCTCTTTGCCTGTCTCCTCATCCTCCCTTCTCTTCCTTCCCATCACATCCTCAACCCCCCCTCGCTCCTCCCTCGCCTTGTTTTCTTGGAGATAAAGGAGCGAGAGAAATGAAAGAGTGAGAGGCGTCGTTGGCTCGGTTTCTACATGATCAAGGTTCTCAGAGTCACAGTATGGGTCACACGGTCTGCGTGTGTGTGCGTGTGTGTGTGTGTGTGTGTGTGACATAATGTGCAGTGACATGCGTGCAGTGCTGTGGAGGGGTTAGGAGGTTACAGAGTTACTTATTCGGGGCAGACGGAGCTGGGATCAGAAGAGGAAAAAACAACAGGAAAGGATGGAGAGAAGTGGAGGGAAAGGAAGTGAAGATACAGTGGATGAATGGATGAAATGAAAGAGGTGAATAATTTGAGGGATGTGAAGAATTCAAAGGAGGGAAGGGTGGAGAAAAGGAAACCGAAGGACAGCAAGGAGATGGTGGAGGGAAAGAGGGATTAAATTTGGAGGGAAAAGGATGAAAGAATGATGGAGAGAGAAAGAGAGAAAGGAATAGGAACAAGGGATTTGTGAAAAGGTGAAATGATAAGTGGATGGATAGATTAAAGGGAGGATGGGATGGAGGGATTGAAATAAAGTGAAAATAAGGGACTGTTAAACTTTAACCTTTAAAAAGGAGGTAAGTGAATCAGAGAAACGTATTAAATGAAAGAAAGAAAAGAAAGGAAAGAAAGAGGGACCAAAGAAGGAATATTTGACAGGAGGATAAATAGTCAAAGAGCATTGAGTTCATGAAAAGAAGAATGAAAAATGAATGGACAGTAAGTATGAAAAGGGAAGGAAGGAAAGGAATAAACAAAGGAATAGAGAATGTGGAAAAAGGATAGAGGGAGTAATGAAAAGACGAGAGAAGAAACGAATGAAACAGGTGACGTTAAAAAGCAGAGAATGGTCTGAAAAGTAGAATAAAGAAATAGAGAGATGAAAAATGATGAGGTGAAGGAGAAGGAACATTCCCACTGTTGGATCATGTTGAAGAAAGAAAGTGAAGTTAGAAGAGATTAAATGAAAAAAGAAAAAGAGGGTGAAACTGTGGGATAGAGAAGAAAGGGATGAAAGTGAGGAGAGTGACAGGAGGGCAGACAGAATGGGATTAAATGAAAGAGGTGTGAAATTAAAAAAGAGAGCACAAGAAGAGTAGAACAAGAAAGAAAGAAAGAGGGCAAAATACACGGATGAGAGGAGGGATTAAATGAAAATTAACGGTGAGCTTGAAAGGAGGAGGAAGTGAGGCAGAGCACAGAGAAAGAGGGATTAGAGATTAAATAGAGGGAGGAATTTCAGGATTGTGACGGATAAAAAGAGAGGGAGGTACAGAAGAAATGAAAATGATCACTGAGGAACATGTGGAAAAAGATGGACATAGTAGGACATAGGGGTGTAAAGAAAGAAGAACGGAGGGAAACTGGCGAAAAAGGACGAGAAGTAGAGTGTGCACAGGCAAGAAAGTAAGGGAGCCGGGAGGGAGGGAGGGAATATGATAATGAGGATGATATTTACACGAGCATAAAAGCAAGAGAGTTGAATTAAGTTGGGACAAAATGAAAGAGCGATAAAAGAGGAAGAAGAAACTTGCTTGGAAAAAAGAAAATGAGGTGGAAAGGAGGGCGGGGGGGGCGAGACGGAAGAAAGAAAAATGAGGAAAATTTTGAAAGAAAAGAGGAAAGTCTGAATGAAATTAGTTAAATGATGTAAAATGGGGAGAAATGAAGATAATAAGAAACAAAGGGAAGAGGAAAAATGCAGAGGAAAAAAGAGAAAACTGAGATTGAGAGAAGGGATTAAAACAAACGCAACGTAAAAACTGATGACTATCAGAATTTCTTTCCCCTCCCGCTCTTATTTTGAAAAGTTCTCAGTGACCGCAGCAGCACTGAGGTCTTCAGCTGTGAACGTGGGAAAGCAGAAGGAGAGAGTGATGGAAGTCCGCCGTGATTACTAACGTATGTCGTCGTGTCACAGCAGAGAGAGAGAGCTGTGATTGGTCTCGGCCTGTGTTGTCACTCAGGTTGAACACTTGTTCAAATGGAGAGAGAGAGAGAGAGAGAGAGAGAGAGAGAGGTAAAAGTTAGCAGGTGAAAATGGAGGATAAAAAGTTACTGTAGCAGATAGCTTCAGTTCATGTGCAAGGCCCTGTGTGTGTGTGTGTGTGTGTGTGTGTGTGTGTGTGTGTGTGTGTGTGTGTGTGTTTGTGTGTCACGGGGGTCACTGAAGATGGCAGGCGTGTAATCAGTGCTGTGGTGTGTATGGCCGTGTGTGTGTGTGTGTGTGTGTGTGTGTTGTGAGGTGAAAGAGATTAGCTACAGGCTTGCTCTCTCTCCCTCCGCAGCACTCCTCTTTTCTCTCGTTCCCTCGCTCAGAATACCAGTCGGCTTGTTTACGGGGGCCAACTGACGCCAAGACCCCAGCTCACACTCCGTACGACCCCGACACACACAGACGCTCTCACACACACACACACACACACACACACACACACAGGCGTCACCCTGGGTTCAAAATCCAACAGTTCTCGACTGTTCTCGAACATGCCGGTGAAGCCCTGCACAAACAACAAATGATCACACACACACACACACACACACACACACACACACACACACACTTGACAAGCTTACCAGCTCTCACACTGTCACATTCATGTTCGGCAAGACAAACGCAATCTCCACCACACACACACACACACACACACACACACACACACATTCAACCACGCATACACTACAAAACCTTTGCTCTCTCACACCCACAAACACACACCCTCCCTTATTCACACACACACACACACACACACTCACTCTCCATTCCCTTTTTCAACAAGACCCAGCGACATGACTCTAACACCCTGCCCTCCCCTTCCCTTCCTCCCCCCTCTTCTTCCTCCCTCCTCCTCCTCCTCCTCCTCCCCCTCCTCCCCCTCCTCCCCAGGCTGTCATTTGTCTGCCAATCTATCCCGATGCATAGCAAATCCGACCAGGTCTTTTATTATTCAGTTTTTCACCCTCTTTTTTTTCCTCCTCCTCCTCTCTTCCCTCTCTCCGGGGGTGGACTGGGGGGGGCGGGTTTGTATTTTCCCACAGGTTTTGCCAGAGCCGGCCCGGTCGCAGGCTTCCAGGGTGACACGTTGCTTCTGGCCTTCAGTGACTTGAGACAAGTAGGTCTTTGTCTCCCTCGTGGTCCTCTCTCCTTCGTTTTCTCTTTCTGTTTTTTTTTTTTTTCTCACTCCGCTATCTTTTTTCTACCCCCCCCCTCGTCCTTTTCATCCTTCCTCCCATCCTCCCTTACACCCCCCTCAGTCCTCCTCCAACGCTTTCTCCTCCTCGTCTTCCTCCTTCATTTGGTTTTCTGATTTTTCCTTTTCTTTTTTTTTTTTGTTTTGTTTTTACCCTCTACTTTCTTAAATCTGTCCTTCTCATCTTTGTTTCTCCTCTTCCATCCCTCTCTTTTTTACTTCTTTTATTCTCCCTTGCTGTTTGCTGTCATCCTCTTATAACCTGTCACATCATTTTGTTTGTCATCGTTTCATCCAACAAGTCATCTGCTGTCTTCTTCACTCACTTCAGAGAGGAAAGAAAGAATCATAAATCAACTTAAATTTAAGCAGTTTAAAGCTTAAGATTGACACAAACAAACGTTTACCAAAGAGATTTAAACAGGGGAAAGCAGGAAAACAAAAGCAGAGGTTATGAGAAATGAAAACGAGTTGTTAGAGAGTTTTCACAAGGTCGTCTGATGCAGGATTTCACATAAATCACGCGGCTGTAGATTTCAAGATGTCAGATTATTGGAGAATGTGTCAGACTCCTTCACTTCCTGTATTTCACCAGGTCAAAGTCTCATTGAGATTTAATGATATGACTTGAGATTTTCTACCAGTGTGGCTTAGACAGACGGTGCTCCGTACCTGTATGACAGTGTTGTTAAGGGACCTTTATTCATGTGGGTGGACTTGAATATGGCAAAACGGGAAATGGGCTGCACTTCTGCAGTCTTATCGACCGCTCAGAGCGCTTTACAATACCTGCCACGTTCACCCATTCACTCACACGCTCACACGCACTGATGGAACGGCCATCAGGGGCGGTTTACGGCTCAGTAACAACAAGTTACTTGACAGAACTAAACTGTTATCAGTCTGAAGTGTTAGCTAGTTCCCTCGTGCAAACCGAACTGCTTCTTCGTGGATGGAAATTTCATCGACTGACATTTTCTTCCTCTGTGTAACTAATTTTCAGCCCAACATCGTCGTCCTTGAGGTCAAACACTGTGGTCGAGCTGATAGATGCTCGTAGAGCAGAGAGGTCTTACTCTCTGTCAGTGTACTGGAGCAATAACAGCGTATCAGTGAGAATGTTTGAGGCGGAAACACTCGTCAGATTGTCGTTCACTTGCTCTAATTCTGGACTCCAGGTTAGGACCGCTTCACCAGTTTTCTTAGGGGCCGATCAGGGTCCTCAGACCTGATATTGAGAAACAGCCGAGTGCAGGAAGTGGCCCGACTGTGAGCTGGGGCGTCTTGTTTCGGGTCCTGGGAAAAACAGAGCAGAACCAGTCAGAGGAGGGACAGAACTGGACGGCTCCGCTGAGAATCCAGGATGTTGGGCGTAGTGTGTGTTTGTGTGTGTGTGTGTGTGTGTGTGCGCACGCATGAGTGCGTTTGTGCATGTGTGTTTTAGTGTGTCGCTGTCGTATTTTCGACTTTGCGAAAAAAGTGTTTTGGCAGGCGAGTGCGTACGTGCGTGGAAGTGCGTGTGAGCGAACTTGTGTTTGCCGTCGCCATTTGCGAGTGTATTCTTTGGTGTGTGTTTGTGTGTCTGTCATCGTTGTTGAATGTGTGAAACTGTGAGCGGAGTGTGTGTATGTGTGTGTGTCTGTGTGTCTGTGTGTCTGTCATCTTTGTGAATGTGTGAAACGGGGCGAAGAGCCCGAGTGAAAGTTTGTGTGGCTTTTCTGGCTGCTGTGTGTGTGTGTGTGTGTGTGTGTGTGTGTGTGTGTGTGTGTGTGTGTGTGTGTGTGTGTGTGTGTTTGTAATCATTGCTGTGAAAATGGGCAGAAAGTGTGTGTGTGTGTGTGTGCACGGACCTGTGTGTTAAGCTGAGCGTAGAGTGTGTGTGTGTGTCTGCTTGTGTGTCATCGCAGTGAATGTGTGAAACAGGGCGGAGAGCGAGTCAAAGTTTGTGTGTCTGCTAACTGTCTTTGATGTGTGTGTGTGTGTGTGTGTGTGTGTTTGTCGTCGTTGTTGTTGTTGAGTGTGTGAAAGTGGTTGGAAAGTGTGTGTCAGTATTTTTGTGTGTGTGTGTGTGTGTGTGTGTGTGTGTGTGTGTGACAGCGGATGACGGATGGGCCGGCAGGACGGAGCAGGGGACGATGAATGAGGTGACAGACAGAGACGGATAGCCCTTTATCCCTCCGTCACAATCCCTCTTTCTCTCTCCCTCTCTTCTCTTTCTCCGCCTGTCGGGATGATGCAGTGCCTCTTGTTCTCCCGCTCGGAGGAGGAGAAGGAAGGGGGGAAGATGGGGAGAAGGAGAAAAGAAAAAAATTGCATTCATCCGGCATCGATGTTTACTTCTACCCCCCTCCTCCTCCTCTCCTCTGCGCTTTCCCCCTTTCCCTCCTTTGCTCCCACTGCTTGCTTCATCCTCCTCTTCCTCTGTCTCCATCCTCTCTTTTCTTGCCTCTCCTCCTTTTCCCCTTCCCTCCATCTCCTCCCCCCTCCCTCCCTCCCTCCCTCCCTCCTCTCGTCTTTCTTTTGCTGATCAGAATCAGTTGACTCCATCGCTCCTTTTGGACTTATTCAGCTCCTTCGCTCTTTTATTTCTGTCTCTTTCGGCCTCTCATCCATTGTTTTTCCTAACCTTTCTTATCATATCAAAAGGAGTGCACCCCCACACACACACACACACACACACACACACACACACACACACATTCATACCTCATGCCTGTGTGTACACATCTGCCCGAGCGCATCTTTTTGTGTGTGATCCACATTCTTCGGGGTAAATTTTTCATGTTTATGTGTCGACATGTGCTCATATGCACGATTGATGCTTTTTGGAGTGTGTGTCTCTTTGTGTGTATATGTGCGTGCGTGTGCGCGTGTGTGTGTGTGTGTGTGTGACCTGGTGGTGAATGGTCGATAAATCACGCTGACGGGGCCGTTTGTTGTGTGGTCGGGTCCCGGTGTTCTGGAAGGTTCCGGGGTCCTGGGACAGGGCCGAGACAGGAGTTCCCCCAGGACACACACACACACACACACACACACACACACACACACACACACACAGTGCACACAGGAGATGAAAACGCGGTTCGTTTCAGCAGTTTGAAAAACACAGCATGTGTAAAATACAGAGTGAAGCAACGTGATTTTATTTTTTTCCCTCCATATTTACTGTAAAACCATCGAGGTCAGGGATCTGAAACTCCAACACAGGAGCCAGTTCTGTACCCGAGTGTCGGTGCCGATCACAAAGTGATGGTTTCTTCAATACCTTGCTTTAAAAAAAAAACAAAAACGTATATATAATGTTTTCTTAAAGTCTTAAAAAGCACTGATTAAGCTTCCTCAGAGATTTGTCTCGGAGCGCATTAAAGGCAGGAACGTTGCTTATAAAAAGCTTTTCTCTGTGATTTTAGGTGGATAACTCTGGCAGGGAAATCCCCTGTACTGTTGTTCCAGAATAAAATAATCATTTTATAACTGGTTAATCCGCCTGTCTTCTGCTGCTTATCCAGGGTTTGCGTTATAGGCATTAATTACTTATATAATTAGGAATGTGCGCAGAAGTAATGACAAAAATATCAAACACTGCAGTAATTCCAGGCCATACCATCTTCCATACTTGGCTTTAGGTGATATGACCATGAAATAGGTATTAAATTGTATTATGCGTTATATCAAAATGTCTTAAAAGTCCAGTAAACATCTTAAATCTCTCTTAGCAGCCGTATAAGATCCACCACAGTCTAAAACCCACAAAGGGAGGATTTAAATCAGGAAGAATCAGTCCGAGAACCAATGAGAACTTCAGGTACTTGACAGTTTCCATGACTTGGTGCTGCAGACACAATACACTTAATACCCAAACAGTGTTCAGATTTCATACCCAGACGTAAATATCATACTGTTTCTCCTTAAGAGGCTGAAGTTCTTTCCATTTGGCCAGAAAAACATGTCTTGCTTTTACAGATGGGAAAGTTCTCAAGTTCCTATTGCATGAGGTAAACATAGCAGTGTCTGATTTTCATGCTATACACAGGACTTATTCAGTACGTATGAATATATATAATATACTGTTGGTGTAGGATAAATCCATACACCTTCATGTGTGTTTTAGTAACAGGAGATGAAACAGCATGAACTGACGGAGGTTTATTCAACTTTAAAACGCTTCACAGAGATAAAGGAAAGTTAAATGTTTAATATTATTTTTCACCAACAACATATTGATATTTACATCTCTGAGTCCTTGAAAAGTATAAAACAAAGTTTCTCTTGTTTAAATGACGGATATAAACAACCATAAATCAGTGCAGCACTAGAAATGACAGGAAGTACCTGACCACCCTGTGAACACCCGTTTAAACTTTATCGTCAAACAGACACCTGTTGCTTCCATAACATCGTCAGGTTATAAATCACAGTAATGATGAAGAATCCAGTCAGTCTGTGTGCAGTTTGGCAGGTTTGCAGCAGATTTGTTGTTTCCTGTTCTCCTTTCCTGACTCCAGCATTACAGAGCTGCTTGCAGAGAAAATCTTTTTAGATTAAACTCCAGATATTTCGTAATCTTGACCTGCAAACGAGGCAGGAAATGCGACCGTAAAGTAAAGCTGCGAGTAGTTTTTTTTTATTATTTTTTATTTTCACTTCACTTCCTTTAAATTATTCAATTAACTTCAGTCAGTAATAGTAGAAAAAATATCCATCACAATTTCCCGGAGCCCAAGATAAAGTCTTTAAATGACTCGTTTTGTTCGACCAACAGACTTAAATCCAAAAATAGCAGCAGATAATCACATTTGAGAATCTGGAATGAGAGATTATGTTATTTTTTTTCCCCTTCTGAAATGCTGAAAACTGCATCAGTAACTTCATAAAAAGTGGAGTTCTGTGATGGATGGTGATGTACTCTGGGTTTGACATTC